ACATGAAATTAGAAGGTAGCTTCTGTCCACTTCAAGTGGGAAATGCAATATGAAACCAAACTGTAGAGGCTGTTTAAGGCATATTACAGGTGCTCTTCAGTTTGAATACACAATTTGAGGGTGAACTAAAATTAGCAGAATAATTGTGCCAAATATGCTCCATAAACAGACATGCTATATTTACCAGGAAAGCTATCTAAGTGGAGCATTACTGCTGATGGATATTATGTGCCTGACAACAGTTCATCTATATAGCAAAATAAAAGCAGATGATAAAGAGATGTGTTCGAACAGTATATGCAAGAAGTGGACTGACCTCCTGGCATATGCCATAACACAACTGAAGAGCTTCATTCCACTTGTTCATTTCAATTAGTCCCTTTACAAGACAAACAAAGGCACTTAAATCTGGTACAATGCCTTTCCTGGTCATTTCACTATATAGTGCAATTGCTTCTTCAACTTGAGATGATAAACAAAGTGCCTGGATTAATGAGGTGTGCATGTCCGTGCTGGCCATATTTAGGGATGACGAGACTTCCATAATCTCTTTGTGCAACTCCAAGGCTGTCTCCAGTCTACCAGCCTTGGAGAAACTATCAATGAGCATCCCATAAACAGGAGCTATCGGTGCTGTGTCATGTGATTCCATCTCCTCCAACAAACCAAGAGAAGCGAGAAACTTCTTGCTGAAACCCTGAACTGTGCTGTGGTATCCTTGCAGATACTTTGGCCAGTGGGTCTGCTTCATCTCATCAAGCAGTAAATGGGCATCGTCCAAAAGACCAGCAGCACAACAATGGTTTATCAGTATTCTGTATGTAACATAGTTGGGAGCACATCCTTTTGTCTTCATTTGCATAAAAAGCTTAAGACCTGCATCAACTTTACCAGCTTTCCCTAGTCCGTCTATTAGGGCAGTGTAAGTTACAACATTTGGACTGCATCCCTTCTTTTCCATCAATGACAGCAGGTTTAGGGCTTTTTCAGTTTCACCTGTTTTACAGAGCCCATCAACCATAGCTGTGTAAGTGACGACGTTAGGATTACATGAATCCTTTAGCATTTGAGACAAAACTTTCATTGCAAGATCACGTCTCCCATCCTTGAACATCCGGTCAATCAAGGACGTGTATGTATGCACACTAGGCAAGTAACCACACTTAGTCATCCGCAGAAATACCTCCTGAGCACTATCGATTTCTCCAACTTTGCAAAAACCATCAATCAGAGCATCATAAACAATCTGGTTGGGCTCACACCCAGATGATAGCATAGCATCTAGCAACTCATGAGCATCAGCCACCTTTTGAGCTTTGCACAAACCATCTACGAGTGCACCATAGGTGACAACATTTGGAGAAATGGTGTCTGTGTCCTTGCCTTCAAAGTAGAAATCAGATTCTTTACTGTCAGAAGTCCCTATTAATTTGGCATAGACTTCGCAAGCCTTTTGGATTTCGCCTGCCTTACAGAGGCCATCAATTAGTGCACTATATGTAACGGCATTTGGATAGCAGGAATTATCAACCATTCTGTGGAAAATGATATTAGCCTGACAGAGCTGCTTGGATTTCAGGTAAGCATGAAGCAATGCAGTATATGTCACTACATTTGGTGAGCAGCCAACACTTCTCATCTCATCAAACCAGCCCTGGGCTTGTTCAATGAGACCAGCCTTACAGAAGCTATCGATCAAAATTGTGTATGTGTACACATCCGGATTAACACCTACCTTCTTCATCTCTTGAAATAAAAGGAAGGCCTTGTCTACCCTGTTAGCCTGGCACAGAAAAGTAATCACCTTAGTGTACGTGCTTGCATCAGGAACAAAGCCTTTCCTCATCATCTCCTTCATTATCTGAAATGCCTTCTCAAATTTTCCCACACCACAAAGGCACCGAGCAAAATTGGCAGTGTTAACCTTATTGAGAACACAACTAGCAACCAGCATCTCCTCGTAAACTTTCTCTGCCAAATCCAACAACTCAAGATTTGGCAATTCTTCTCGACCACAAATGCTTCCAATGAATATGTTGTATACAACATAACCAGGAGGACAACCGCAGTTATTCATCCTATTAAACAGTTTATATGCATATGCATAATCCTCGGCATTGCAGTAAGTATGCACAAGTGAATTGAACAATGAAGGATTTGGGTTGCAACCCTCTGTCATCATCATGTTAATGATTCTCTTGCACCAGCCAAGCTGCTTCTTTTTCAGAAATCCTGAGAGCAGCGTCCTATACGTTACCACATTCGGGATATACGAGTTGCACCGCATCCTATGAAGAAATGACATGGCCTCATTGAAAAGGGAGGCCTCCATCAGTCCACTGATCATCTGGGTGCACAACACCGTGTCAAGCTTAAAATCCTCCTTCTCTAACATGTCAAGTGCGTCGCCCCAACGCCCCTCCTTGCACAGCGCCTGCGCAAAGGATCCGACTGTGGACCTGTCCATGCAGAACCCTGATGCCGACATCTCCTTCTGCACCCGGAACCCCATTTCCATCTGCCCGGCGCTCGCGAGCACCTGCACCAGTGCATTGTAGGTCACCGCGGACGGCCTGTACCCGAAATCCTTCAGCCTCCCAAGCTCCTCCAGCGCCTCGCCCCACAGGCCTTGGCGGCAGCACCGCCGCACCAGCACATTGAGCAATCTGCCGAGCACATCACGATCATCCTCCCCAATCTCCCTAAGCAGCCTCTCAGCGGTCCTGGCGCGGTCTTCAAACCCCAAAACCTCGGCGAGCGCGTCGTAGCAGGCACCAGTGTGGCTGTACCCCACCTGCCGTTCGGCCCAGAGGAAGAACCTGACACAGGGCTCCGGGGAGCGCACCGCCCTGAGCACCGCGACCACGACGGAATCGGTAAGGAACTCGCGGTACCGTCGCAGGAACCGCTCCGCCTTGCCGTCGAAGTCGGCCCCGTAGGCCCGCACCGCCTTGGAGATCAGGAGGGCCTCCGGGGGCGGGAGGGCGGCGGCGGGGGGCGCGGGGGCAGGGTCCCTAATAAAGGCGAAGT